ATTTTTGCTCCCTAATCCTCACAACTGGGATTTTCCTCCTTCTGCTCCACTCAAACTGGGATTTTCCTCCTTCTGCTCCATTAAAAATGGGATTTTCCTCCCTCTGCTCCACCAAAACTTGGATTTTCTTCCCCTTACCCCACTAAAACTGGGATTTTCCTCCCCTTGCTCCACCAAAAACGTGATTTTTGCTCCCTAATCGACCCAAACCGTGATTTTCCTCCTTCTGCTTCATTAAAACAAGGATTTTCCTTCCTTGCTCCACCAAAAATGGGATTTTCCTCCCCTTACTCCACTAAAACTGGGATTTTCCTCCCTCGGCTCCATTAAAACTGGGATTTTTGCTCCCTAATCGACCCAAACCGTGATTTTCCTCCTTCTGCTTCATTAAAACAAGGATTTTCCTTCCTTGCTCCACCAAAAATGGGATTTTCCTCCCCTTACTCCACTAAAACTGGGATTTTCCTCCCTCGGCTCCATTAAAACTGGGATTTTTGCTCCCTAATCGACCCAAACCGTGATTTTCCTCCTTCTGCTTCATTAAAACAAGGATTTTCCCTCTTTGCTCCACCAAAAATGGGATTTTTGCTTCCTAATTCTCAAAACTGGGATCTTCCCCCTTCTGCTCCATTAGAACTGGGATTTTCCTCCCCTTACTCCATTAAAACTGGAATTTTCCTCCCTCTGCTCCACCAAAAATGGGATTTTCCTCCCCTTGCTCCACCAAAACTGGGATTTTCCTCCCCTTGCTCCACCAAAAATGGGATTTTCCTCCCCTTGCTCCACCAAAACTGGGATTTTTGCTCCCTAATCCTCACAACTGGAATTTTCCTCCCTCAGCTCCCCTTCCCGGGGTTCCCACGTACTCTCCGAGCAGCGGGAGCTGCGGGATGCTGAGGGAATTCTGCCGCGCCTGCTGCTCCAGCCGGGCCTCGATTTCCCGTTTTTTCTGGGCGATCAGCTCCTCCTGCTGCAGGATGTTCACGCTGGTCTTGGCTGACTTGGACTGGGACACGCCAAACCACCGGCTCGCCTTCCCTGAGGGAAAAGGGCGGGAATCAGCGCGGGAATTGCCCGGAATCAGGGGCAAGTTCTCTGAGGGAAAAGACGGAAAATAGTCTGGGAGTCGTCTGGAATCAGAGGTGTGTTCCCTGAGGGAAAAAGTGGGAATTAATTTGGGAATTGTCTGGAATCAGGGGCCCATTCCATGAGGGAAAAAGCGGGAATTAACTCGGGAATTGTCCGGAATCAGGGGCAAGTTCTCTGAGGGAAAAGACGGAAAATAGTCTGGGAGTCGTCTGGAATCAGAGGTGTGTTCCCTGAGGGAAAAAGTGGGAATTAATTTGGGAATTGTCTGGAATCAGGGGCCCATTCCATGAGGGAAAAAGCGGGAATTAACTCGGGAATTGTCCGGAATCAGGGATGCATTCCCTGAGGGAAAAGAGTGGGAATTAGCCTGGGAAATGTCCGGAATAAGGGGCGCACTCCCTGAGGGAAAAGGCGGGAATTAACTCGGGAATTGTCCGGAATGGGATTTTCCTCCCCTTGCTCCACCAAAACTGGGATTTTCCTCCCCTTGCTCCACCAAAACTGGGATTTTCCTCCCCTTGCTCCACCAAAACTGGGATTTTCCTCCCCTTGCTCCACCAAAAATGGGATTTTCCTCCCCTTGCTCCACCAAAACTGGGATTTTTGCTCCCTAATCCTCACAACTGGAATTTTCCTCCCTCAGCTCCCCTTCCCGGGGTTCCCACGTACTCTCCGAGCAGCGGGAGCTGCGGGATGCTGAGGGAATTCTGCCGCGCCTGCTGCTCCAGCCGGGCCTCGATTTCCCGTTTTTTCTGGGCGATCAGCTCCTCCTGCTGCAGGATGTTCACGCTGGTCTTGGCTGACTTGGACTGGGACACGCCAAACCACCGGCTCGCCTTCCCTGAGGGAAAAGGGCGGGAATCAGCGCGGGAATTGCCCGGAATCAGGGGCAAGTTCTCTGAGGGAAAAGACGGAAAATAGTCTGGGAGTCGTCTGGAATCAGAGGTGTGTTCCCTGAGGGAAAAAGTGGGAATTAATTTGGGAATTGTCTGGAATCAGGGGCCCATTCCATGAGGGAAAAAGCGGGAATTAACTCGGGAATTGTCTGGAATCAGGGGCCTGACGGAAAAGGCAGGAATTAGCCTGGGGAATGTCCGGAAGGAGGGGTGCACTCCCTGATGGAAAAGGCGGGAATTAACTCAGGAATTGGTCGGAATATGGGGCCCATTCCGTGAGGGAAAAAGCGGGAATTAACTCGGGAATTGTCCGGAATCAGGGATGCATTCCCTGAGGGAAAAGAGTGGGAATTAGCCTGGGAAATGTCCGGAATAAGGGGCGCACTCCCTGAGGGAAAAGGCGGGAATTAACTCGGGAATTGTCCGTTCTGGGCGATCAGCTCCTCCTGCTGCAGGATGTTCACGCTGGTCTTGGCTGACTTGGACTGGGACACGCCAAACCACCGGCTCGCCTTCCCTGAGGGAAAAGGGCGGGAATCAGCGCGGGAATTGCCCGGAATCAGGGGCAAGTTCTCTGAGGGAAAAGACGGAAAACAGTCTGGGAGTCGTCTGGAATCAGGGGTGCGTTCCCTGAGGGAAAAGGTGGGAATTAATTTGGGAATTGTCCGGAATCAGGGGCGCATTCCGTGAGGGAAAAGGCGGGAATTAACTCGGGAATTGTCCGAGTATGGGGCCCACTCCGTGAGGGAAAAAGCGGGAATTAACTCGGGAATTGTCTGGAATCAGGGGCCTGACGGAAAAGGCAGGAATTAGCCTGGGGAATGTCCGGAAGGAGGGGTGCACTCCCTGATGGAAAAGGCGGGAATTAACTCAGGAATTGGTCGGAATATGGGGCCCATTCCGTGAGGGAAAAAGCGGGAATTAACTCGGGAATTGTCCGGAATCAGGGATGCATTCCCTGAGGGAAAAGAGTGGGAATTAGCCTGGGAAATGTCCGGAATAAGGGGCGCACTCCCTGAGGGAAAAGGCGGGAATTAACTCGGGAATTGTCCGGAATCCGGGATGCATTCCCTGAAGGAAAAGAGTGGGAATTAGCCTGGGAAATGTCCGGAATGAGGGGCACAGTCCCTGAGGGAAAAGGCGGGAATTAACTCGGGAATTGTCCGGAATATGGGGCCCATTCCGTCAGGGACAAAGCGGGAATTAACTCGGGAATTGTCCGGAGTATGGGGCCCATTCCGTGAGGGAAAAAGTGGGAGTTAACTCGGGAATTGTCCAGAATCAGGGGCAACCTGAGGGGAAGAAAGCGGGATTTTTTCTCTGAGGGGAACAAAGCGGGATTCAACACAGGTCATCCCAAACTAAGAGGCTCAATCCCTGAGGGAAAAAGGCGGGAATGAACAGGGACCAGCCCGAATCCAGGGACACATTCCATGCAGGAAAAGGACTGAGTTAGCATGGGGACCATCCTGAATCCAGGCTCACCTTCCCTGAGGGAAAAGGCGGGATTTAGCCTGGGAATTGTCTGGAATGAGGGCACATTCCCTGAGGGGAAAGGGCAGGATTTAACAGGGATCATCCCAAATCAAGGCTCAAATTCCCTGAGGAAAAAAGGCAGGATTAGGGTAGGGACCATAGAGAATTCAGCTTCCCTGAGGGAAAAGGAGGGAATTAATGGAAAGACCATCCCAAACCAAGGCTGGTCTTCCCTGTGGAAAGAGGAGGAATGAACAGGGACCATCCCGAATCAAGGGACACCTTTCCTGAAGGAAAAAGGTGGGATTTAACAAGAGTCATCCCGACACAAGGCTCGCTCTCCCTGTGGGAAAAGGGAAGGAATAAACTGTGGGATCATCCCGAACTCAATTTTCCTATAGGAAAAAAAAAATAAAAGGAGATAAAAACCAACAGTGGGGTTTCCACGAACCACCAGCTCAGCTTTCCTACGGGAAAAGAGAGAGGGAATGAACAGTTGGGTTTCCTGTGGGAAAAGGAGAGGAAAAATCACCAGCGGAGCCTCTCCGAAGCACCGGCTTGGCTTCCCTGGGGAAAAAGAAAAGGAAAAATAACGGGGAGACCACCCCGGACCTCAGGCTCGGTTTTCCTGTGGGAAAACGAGGGAATTAACAGAGGAGCCATCCCGAACCAGCAGCCCGGCTCCCCTAGGGGAAAACGAGCCGGGAATGAACGCGGGGATCCATCCCAAACTCCCGGCTCGGCTCCGCTGTGGGAAAAAAGGAGGGAATTTAACGGGGGGGCTTCCACAGCACCCGAGTCTGCCGGCACACCCCCACCCCCGGGCGCACACCCCCACCCCCGGCTCCCGGAGCCCCGGGGCTGGTGGGGCCGAGCCGGGGGATGGCAGCGAGGCGGGAAGAGCCAGGCAGAGCACCGGGAGGAGCGGGGCAGAGCCGGGAGCGCCGGGAGCCGCCCGGGCCGGGCCGTACCTGGCGCATCCCTGTGGTTGTCCATTTTGGAGCCCCCGTCCCAGCATGCCCCGCGCCGGGCGCGCCGCGCCGGGGGCCGCGGCATTGCAAGTGCCCCTGGGAGATGTAGTCCCTCAAGGTGCCATCCCTCAGCTCTCCCCGCTCCTCCCGCCGCATCGAGCTCCTCTCACGGGGCGGCCGAACCACCCCGCTCTGGCGGCTCCGCCGCTACGGTCATTCCCCGGTTCGCCCCGCATCTGATCGGTGAGAAAGGGCAGACTACAACTCCCACTTCCCCTCCGCGTCTGAGGCGCTCGAACTACAACTCCCGTCGTGCCCCGCGCCTCGCGGCGGTGTTGTCGGCGGCCCCAAGATGGCGGCGGTGGCGGCGGGCGCGGCGGCCCCTCAGCAGCCGCCGCCGCCTCAGCAGCCGCCGCAG